AAAGTGTATAAACTAAGGGAGGAGGAAGTTCGGGCGAGATATAAGCGACTACTGGCAGATAGGTGGGCTAGTGCAATGATGAGTAGTGGGGGGGTTGAAGAGGGTTGGAATAGTTTTAAAAATGCAGTATTAGAATGTGCGGCAGAAGTTTGTGGTTATAGGAGGGTGGGGGCAGGAGGAAAGAGGAGTGACTGTGTGAATGATGAAGTAAAAGGTGTGATAAAAGAGAAAAAGGTAGCTTACGAGAGGTTTTTACAAAGCAGAAGTGTTATAAGAAGAGCAGAGTATATGGAGAGTAAAAGAAAGGTGAAGAGAGTGATGAGAGAGTGCAAAAGGAGAGCAGATGAAAGAGTGGGAGAGGCACTGTCAAGAAATTTTAATGAAAATAAGAAAAATTTTTGGAGTGAGTTAAACAAGTTAAGAAAGCCTAGGGAAAGTATGGATTTGTCAGTTAAAAACAGAGTAGGGGAGTTAGTAGATGGGGAGAGGGAGGTATTAGGTAGATGGCGAGAATATTTTGAGGATCTTTTAAATGTTGAGGAAGAAAGGGAGGGGGTAATTTCATGCACTGGCCAGGGAGGTATACCATCTTTTAGGAGTGAAGAAGAGCAGAATGTAAGTTTGGTGGAGGTACGTGAGGCATTACATAGAATGAAAGGGGGTAAAGCAGCTGGAATTGATGGGATCATGACAGAAATGTTAAAAGCAGGGGGGGATATAGTGTTGGAGTGGTTGGTACTTTTGTTTAATAAATGTATGAAAGAGGGGAAGGTACCTAGGGATTGGCGGAGAGCATGTATAGTCCCTTTATATAAAGGGAAAGGGGACAAAAGAGATTGTAAAAATTATAGAGGAATAAGTTTACTGAGTATACCAGGAAAAGTATACGGTAGGGTTATAATTGAAAGAATTAGAGGTAAGACAGAATGTAGGATTGCGGATGAGCAGGGAGGCTTCAGAGTGGGTATGGGATGTGTAGATCAAGTGTTTATATTGAAGCATATATGTGAACAGTATTTAGATAAAAATAGGGAAGTTTTTATTGCATTTATGGATTTAGAAAAGGCATATGATAGAGTAGATAGAGGAGCAATGTGGCAATGTTGCAAGTATATGGAATAGTGGTAAGTTACAAAAATGCTGTAAAGAGCTTTTATGAGGATAGTTGGAGGCTTAGGTTAGGGTATGTAGAAGAGAGGGAGAATATTTCCCCGGTAAAAGTAGGTCTTAGACGGGGATGTGTAATGTCACCATGGTTGTTAATATATTTATAGATGGGGTTGTAAAAGAAGTAAATGCTGGGGTGTTCGGAGAGGGTGGGATTAAATTATGGGGAATCAAATTCAAAATGGGAACTGACACAGTTATTTTTTTGCTGATGATACTGTGCTTATGGGAGTTCTAAAGAAAAATTGCAAAGGTTAGTGGATGAGTTTGAGAGTGTGTGTAAAGGTAAAAATTTTGAAAGTGAACATAGAAAAGAGAAAGTGATGAGGTATCAAATGATTTAGATAAAGAAAAATTGGATATCAAATGGGGAGGAGGAGTATGGAAGAAGTGAATTTTTCAGATACTTGGGAGTTGACGTGTGGGCGGATGGTTTTATAAAGGGATGAGGTTAATCACGAATTGATGAGGGAAAAAAGGTGAGGGGTGCGTTGAGGTATATGGGACTCAAAAAAACGTTATCTATGGAGGCAAAGAAGGGAATGTATGAAAGTATAGTAGTACCAACACTCTTATATGGATTTTAAGCTTGGGTGGTAAATGCAGCAGCGAGGAACGGTTGGAGGCAGTGGAGATGTTCTGTCAAGGGCAATTGTGGTGTAAATATTATGCAGAAAATTCGGAGTGTGGAAATTAGGAGAAGGTGTGGAGTTAATAAAAGCATTAGTCAGAGGGGAGAAGAGGGGTTGTTGAGGTGTTTGGTCATTTAGAGAGAATGGGTTTAAAGTAGAATGACATGGAAAGCATATAAATCTATAGGGGGAAAGGGAAGGAGGGGTAGAGGTCATCCTCAAAAGGGTTGGAAAGAGGGGGTAAAGGGGCTTGGACTTCCAGCAAGCGTGCATGAGCGTGTTAGATAGGAGTGAATGGAGACAATTTATAATTGGGACCTGACGATCTGTTGGGTGGAGTAGGGTAATATTTAGTGAAGGGGTTCAGGGAAACCGGTTATTTTCATATAGTCGGACTTGAGTCCTGGAAATGGGAAGTACAATGCCTGCACTTTAAAGGAGGGGTTTGGGATATTGGCAGTTTGGAGGGATATGTTGTGTATCTTTATACATATATGCTTCTAAGCTGTTGTATTCTGGGCACGTCTACAAAATCAGTGATAATGTGTGAGTGTGGTGAAAGTGTTGAATGACGATGAAAGTATTTTCTTTTCGGGGATTTTCGTTCTTTTTTGGGTCACCCTGCCTTGGTGGGAGATGGCTGACTTGTTGAAAAAAAAAAAAAAAAAATTATAGGTCCCAGCATGTTTTGAATATGTGGAAGCGGAAGTGGAGGCGGCAGCGACAGCAGGGGCAGCAGCAGCAGCAGCAGCAGAAGCAGCGGAAGCAGCAGAAGCGGCAGTGGAAGCAGCAGCAGCAGCAGCAGCAGCGTAAGCAGCAGCGGAAGCGGAAGCGGAAGCGGCGGCGGGCGGCAGCAGCAGCAGCAGCAGCAGCAGCAGCAGCAGCAGCAGCAGAAGCACAGCGGCAGCAGCGGCGGCAGCGGCGGCAGCGGCGGGGGCGGCGGCAGCCCGCGGCGGCGGCGGCAGCAGCGGCGGCGGCGGCAGCGGCGGCAGCGGCGGCAGCAGCGCGGCGGCAGCGGCGGCGGCAGCGGGGGCGGCAGCACGCGGCCAGCAGCGGCAGCGGCAGCGGCAGCGGGAGCAGCAGCGGCAGCGACGGCAGCGGCGGCAGCGGGGGCAGCGGCGGCAGCGGGGGCAGCGGCGGCAGCAGAGCGGCAGCGGCGGCAGCAGCAGCGGCACAGCGGCAGCGGCAGCACAGCGGCAGCGGCAGCGGCAGCACAGCAGCGGCAGCGCGGCGGCATGGGGGCGGCAGTGGCGGGGGCGGCGGCAGCGGCAGTGGAACAGCGGGAAACAGCAGCAGCGGAAAAAGAAGAAGAAGAAGAAAAGAAGAAGAAGAAGAAGAAGAAGAAGAAGAAAAGAAGAAGAAGAAGAAGAGAAAAAAAAGAAGAAGAAGAAGAAGAAGAAGAAGAAGAAGAAGAAGAAGAAGAAGAAGCAGCAGCAGCAGCAGCAGCAGCAGCAGCAGCGGTGGCGGCAGCAGCGGAAGCGGCAGCAGAAGCGGCAGCTGCAGCGGTAGCAGCAGCAGCAGCAGCAGCAGTAACAGCAGCAGCAGCAGCAGCAGTAGTAGTAACAGCAGCAGCAGCAGCAGCAGTAGTAGCAGCAGCAGCAGCAGTAGTAGCAGCAGTAGTAGCAGCAGTAGCAGCAGTAGTAGCAGTAGTAGCAGTAGTAGCAGTAGCAGCAGTAACAGCAGTAGTAGTAGTAGGAAGAGTAGGAGTAGGAGTAGTAGTAGGAGTAGTAGTAGTAGTAGTAGTAGTAGTAGTAGTAGGAGCAGTAGTAGGAATAGTAGGAGTAGTAGGAGTAGGAGTGGTGGTGGCGGAGGCAGTGGCGGTGGTGGTGGTGGATAGGTAATAATAATAATAGGTAATTGTTTATCTTAAATGTTTCTCACAATTCTTTCTTTCTTTCAACACACCGGCCGTATCCCACCAAGGCGGGGTGGCCCAAAAGGAAAAACGAAAGTTTCTCCTTTTACATTTAGTAATATATACAGGAGAAGGGGTTACTAGCCCCTTGCTCCTGGCACTTTAGTCGCCTCTTACAACACGCATGGCTTACGGAGGAAGAATTCTGTCTGACTTTTTTGGGTTATCCCAGGTTCTCTACACATATGCTGCTATGTATGATAATTTTATGTAACTGTATTTGTGTATACCTGAATAAACTTACTTACTTACTTACTTAAGTGGCATTGGCATGCTGCTCTTACCTGTATTTTTTTTTTGTACCTCTGTATTTATGTTCAAATTATTAAATAAATAAATAAATAAATAAATAAATAAAAGTAATAACAAGTTACCTTGAAGCATGAAAAACAAAGTCCACCCCTGACAGTGACATGATAAGATAACATTTGATAAGAGCTGACGTTTGATGAGCATATGCGAGGGTGCAGTGATAAGGCTTGATAAGAAAAGATTAGAGGTGACATTTGATGAGCATCGACCCTGGCTTTGTTTTCACTGGGACACAAACATGTCTGTCTGTCTATTTGTCTGTCTGTCAAGCTCCCTGTCTATCTGTCTAGCTCTCTGTCTCAGAGAGAGCCACAAGACTGCGTCATCACGTTTACTCACATCTTCAAGCGGAGTATAGCACTTTGTCTGGATTTTTTGGGTTATCCTAGGTAATTTACACTATGTATACTTGTACTGTATTTATGTGTACCTGTGAGACAGAGATAGACAGAGACAGATTGAAAGAGATAGAGATAGACATAGATAGAGACAGAGACAGATGGACAGAGACAGATAAACATAGACAGAGACAGACAGAGACAGAGACAGAGACAGACAGAGACAGACAGATAGACAGAGATAGATACAGAGATAGACAAACCCTAAACTTGGGGTTAACATCACTTTCTTCTTAAAAGGGGAGTGTTAATATGACATTACATCAGTGAATCCTTGGCGTTTACCGCACTGTTTGCTCCAGCTGGTGCTCAGTTTAACTGGTGGTCCCACAAGGTACTAAGTGGTCCCAGATTTCTTTAATATGGTGCACACCGAGTGTTAAGACCCATTCTATGCCGACCAGGCATCTCAGGGCAATTGTGCCAAATTTGGAGTTGGGAAAATTAAAACGTGTATATGTATACGTTTGGGGCGCTAGCAGTAAGAACGTATATATATGTTTGGACCGTCTAGGGGTAAAATTATGGTTATTATACATAAGAAAGTTATGATTACTGTACATGAGAAATAATTACCTCGACGAAGTTCCACCTTCTCAGTGGTCTTAACTCTTGCAACTGGTGCCAGCACTGCCTGCCCGAAATTCTGTCTGGCACCTCGTAATTTCTCGGTGAATCGCCGTCACTGGATGACATTTTCTTTGTATTTAGCTTCTTGGCTCGATTATTTTGAGGAATTTTCTGTGGAAATGCCACATTAAGTAAATCAACACTTTCTGATTCTGGCAAACAAGAGTCCAAGAGCAGAGCTATCATCGCTGAGTCCAAACCTCCTGAGAAGAGTACCGCGACTTTAGTGTGAACACATTTTGTGGTTGAGTTCGTACAATCGCGACACTTTGGTGGGCATTTCTCGACTCTTCTGCGAATAGAGTTTGTTAATATTTTTAATAAGTTTGCCACATCATCTTCCAAAGCTAAATAGAGTACCTTTACATTTTCCTCATCTAATGAGCAGGGTAGAGCCTTAATATTTTCTATAATGGCAATGGAAGGAACACACATATTTAACCTAGTTTGTATACACGAACTTATCTTGTGTTTCTTAATGTTAATTACAGAATCCATAGACAAAAGCGTTTCTTCAGCAACATGAGTCCAAGGAATTAAATTAACTGTGAATTCTTCTGCTAAATTAACAACAGAAAAATCCACATAATAAAGGCCAAGAGCTGGAATTTCTTTCACACGATCGTCTTGCCGGCAGACAGATGCTATCAAAAAGACACGCGAGGTGTCAGATGGCAGTCTCCAGAGCAAACTGTGTCTGCCCAAGACATCTCTGCCAAAATATAATCTCTGGGTATGTTTCTGGTAGTAAATCAGTGCCCACGGTCCCTTTATATTGCCCAGGAAGGATGTAATATCAGCTTCTTCCTTAGTTGATAAAGATTCTGATATATATTGTGTGTCACTCATACCTTTCGTAATCTGCAAGCAGAAGAAATAACATTAATGTGATTATTATTATTATTATTATTATTATTATTTGTTTATATTATTATTATTATTATTATTTGTTTATATTATTATTATTATTATTATTTGTTTATATTATTATTATTATTATTATTTGTTTATATTATTATTATTTTTACCTTAACAGCCATCACCCACCAAGGCAGGGAGACCTAAAGAAGAAAACACATTCCCCATCATTCATTCAATCACTGGTTTTCCACAAGTGGTTGACATCAATTATTAGGTATCCACAAAGGGAGACCTTTAAGAGGTTCCTGACCTTTTTTGTTTTTTTTTTCCCTTCAATTTTCAGTTTTGTTTCACTCATAACTTGAGAACGCTTCATCCAATCAGCTTCGAGTTTTCAACACTTGCATAAGGTAACGAGGAATAGATTCTTGGAGCAGTTGGCATGTTCACATGCCCTATGACCAAAGTTATTGAACCCACTCCAAGCAGATTTTATGAAATAAAAGGAGATATGACAAAGACCTGGAAAATCCTCACTGAAATCTTGGGCTCTAGTAAACTGTCCGGAAACAAATATAAACTTAACTAAACCAGATGAACCACACATTCAGCCTACAGACACTGCCAACAAACTTAAAGTCTTCTCTACTATAGGATCAGAACTAACAAACAATATCCCAACCTCAGATACTCAAGCAAAATACTACCTTACTAGAAATTACCCAAATACAGTGGACCCCCACATAACGATTACCTCTGAATGCGACCAATTATGTAAGTGTATTTATGTAAGTGCGTTTGTACGTGTATGTTTGGGGGTCTGAAATGGACTAATCTACTTCACAATATTTCTTATGGGAACAAATTCGGTCAGTACTGGCACCTGAACATACTTCTGGAGTGAAAAAATATCGTTAACCGGGGGTCCACTGTACTCTATTCCTAGCTCCTACTAATCATTCTGAAGTCTCTCTCATCATAAAGTCACTAAAAAACAAGAGAGGAGACCTAAATAAGTTGCCACCACTTTTTACAAAAAACAAAAATCATCTCATGTGCTATTGCCCATTACTGCAACTCTGTTTAATAAATCAGTTGAATTTTCAAGTTTCCCATCCATACTCAAGATAACAAGGGTTATCCTGATCCTCAAAGAAGGCAATCCAACTATACACCTGTATCAAACTTGTCCCTACTATCTAAAATCTTAAAAAAAAAAAAATACATATGTGAGTTTACTTCTACTAAATATCTCACAATCTCTGCCAGTTTGGGTTTAGGGTGAAAAAAAGCATGAATGATACAATTATACAAATGCTCAAACTGCTAAATGAAGCACTTGAAAATAAATGAATATCCTCTGGGGATTTTCATAGACCTACAAAAAAGCATTTGATGCAGTGTACTATAATATCTTGCACCTTAAACTCGAACATTATGGGGTCAGAAGACATATCCTTAAATATCTAAAATCTTAGCAACAGACACCAGTGTAATCCAGTCTACTCAACCCGTAGCCATAGGAGTGCCACAAGGCACAAGGCCCTCTGTTTTTTTCTTTACATCAATGATCTCCCCAATGTGTCTCCTCTTCTTCAACTAGTTCTATTTCCAGATGACACTACAGTGGACCCTCAGTTATTGGCCGTAATCCATTCCAGAAGGTCAGCCTAAATCCGAAAAGGCCAAAAACCGAAATAATATTTCCCATAAGAATTAATGAAAATACAATTAATCCATTCCAGACACACAAAAATATTAACAAAAAAAAATACATTTTTTAAAGATTAACTATAGTTTTACCTACACAAAACAATGAGAAAGAAATATGGAAGGGAGAGGGAGTTGGGGTTATTATTTGGAAGGGTAATCCCCTTCCATAAGGACTTAAGGTATCAAAGCCCTCTCTGGAGTTACTTTCCTACTTTGTCTTTAACTGCCACTAGGACCAGCTTGAAAGTCACTGTACCTCTGTCACACAAAAAAACTGTCCAGAGAGCTCTGTTTCTGGTGTCTCTTTAAGATTTGCTTGAAGCAGGACAAGGTTTTGTCACTGAACATGTTGCAGATATGGTTTGTTTGAGCTTGGTCAGGGTGATATTTCTCCACAAAACTTTGCATCTTCCTCCACTTTGCACACATGTCCTTAATCACTGAAGACACATTTTCCTCTCTCTCTTCCTCCTCCTCTGAAGCAATTTTCTCAGCTGTGGTCTGTTGCTGTTGCAGATGAAGGTTTTGCAGCTCTTCAGTGGTTAGCTCTTGATTGTGATCCTCCACCAACTCTTCCACATCCTGGCCACTCACATCCAACCCCCATGGACTTCCCCAATAATGTATGACCCTTACCAAGATAAGGTGCCATCATGCTTCTCACTATGTTACCTGAGATACCCAATAACATCCTGGTATCTTTCAATGTTTTACTTTCTGTGTATACAACAATATCCAATACCAGGCCACTGTCACAGTCACAGAGTACAAACAGTTTTATACCAAAGTGTTTCCTCTTGCTCGGTATATACTGTTTCAACGACAGTCTACCTTTGAACAAAATCAAAGACTCGTCAAGTACTACAAGATTCTTGAATGGATAAAAGTACATGTTGAACTTTTGTTTCAGATACATAAAAACATTTCTAATCTTGTATAACCTGTCACTTTTGTCAGGTCTGGTTTTGTCAGAGAAGTGCAACAAATGTAACAGTAAGATAAACCTGTTCACTGGGATGATTTCACTGAAGACCGGGGTACAAATCAGCCGATCTGTGGACCAGTATGATTTTATATTATGCTTATAGACATGAGACAAAAGCATTATTGTTGCAAAGAGCAAATACATTTCTGCAACAGTTGTCTCTTTCCACCAGTGTAGTCTTGACTGTGGTGATATCATCGTATTTGCCATGGTGTACTCAAAATACTTGTTACTTTCCCTGACAATAGTTTCCATCAAGGGCTGGTCAAAGAATAGTTCAAAAAATTCCAGTTCATTTGCAGTGTTTCCAAGGGAACAAGTTGGTAGAATTCCACTTTGAGAGTCATCAAAGTGGTGGAGCTTGGCAACAAAATTGGGATTTTGCTGCCAATCCCAGATATGGTTTGCTGGTGGATACTGGACATCACAAGCTGGTTGTGCTGGTAGTTGTGGTTGTGGTGGACTAGTGGCTGACGCTCCGCTTTGTCCTTGAACTGAGGAGTCAACAGCGTGGGGTCCCAGCCTGAGCTGGTGAGTCATGCATGGCCGTGGCACTACAATCACCACTACAATAAAGTGATCAGAAAATGGTAAATTGGCCAATTTCACACAAATTTCAATACATGCCAATTTCAAAATAGGGCCCAAAATAAACAATGCAGGCATTCCTGGCACTAAAACAGCATTTCCTTTGTTCATTAGTTACATTTCCAGGCTTTACACATGAATTTCATTTTGATTTTTTATTCACATAAATAATTTTTATTCACACAAAAAATAGAAGAGTTACTGTTATGCAATATTGTAATAATTGTATAAATAATATAAGCGCATTCGTAAACACATTTCAGACCCACCAGCTGACATGTACGTATTGGACACTTTACGTGATTTGTTTACTCTTGAAAATTGACAAAAAACGAACATTGTCGCTACTTTGAGCTCAACCTCAAGCTAGTTTCGTTCTTAAAACCCATCAAAATCTTTTCTATTTCTGTAATATATCTTCCATTCTATCAAATGAGACCAAGAAACCAAGAATATAAACATAAAAACCATATGAAAATACACTGCAAAGTTATTTTTTTTAAACCATATACACAGTCAGTTTTTTTCTCGTTATGCACTGTATGCTTCAGGATTTGTTTTATGTCGTGCATACTTACTGCATCGACCCATTCTCTCATATCTAGACCCAAATTTACCTCCGACAGCTTATCTGACTGAGCTGAGCTCATCACGTAGAACTACGGAATGGATCCTGTTTCAAAGCTGTAGAACTATGGGACGGGCCCTCAAAGAGTTAAACACTGGAGGATATTAAAATGGTTTTTCCAAAATTCCCTGAAGATAAGCTCTCTTTCAGAGGTCACATCAAAGCACCTTTTAAATAGTGTTTTTGAGTAAAGCTTCTTAAAACTGGAAATTACCTGCTGGTCCATGGGTTGGATGAGAGGAGTGGTGTTAGCAGGCCATGAACTTCACTTTAATGAAGCTGTATTCATCCACCAAATTTTCTTGCAAGCCTGGAGGGTGAGCAGGAGCAATGTCCATTACCAGATGTGACCTTAATGGTAAGTTGTTTTTGGCAAGGTACTGCTTCACACTTGGGGCAAACACTTCATGTATCCACGCAGTGAAGAACTACCTTGTTACCCAAGCTTTACTATTAGCCCTCCACATTACATTGACTAGCAATGGTTTAATTTTGCAGTCCCCACTAGCATTACCACAGAACAAGAGTGTTAGCCTGTCTTTCATGGGCTTGTGTCTTGGTAATGATTTTTCTTCCTGTATGATGTAGGTTCTTTCAGGCATTCTCCTCCAAAAGAGGCCAGTATCAACACAATTAAAAACTTGTTGATGATAAATCCCTCAATGTCTACATAGGTTTCAAATTCTTAATAAACTTTTCGGCCTCATCTCTGTTAGCACTAGCAGCCTCCTCATGCCTTACTACACAATGAGTCCAACACCTCTTTTTAAACCTATCAAACCAGCCCCTACCTGCCTTAAATTCATCACTTTCAGCACTGTTTCCTGGAATGTCTCACCTAAGATCACTATGTAACTGCTTTGCTATTTTATCAATTATTGTTTCAGAAACACTGTCACCAGTTTTTCCATTTCTTCAACTAACTGTGACCTTTTCACAGCAAGAATTTCCACTCCTTTTGCCACATCAGCCCCTTTTATTGCCTCTTTTATTTTTCAATATGGATGATATAGTGGATTCTGCCATACCATACTGAGTGGCCAGGTCTGACACATATGTTCCACTTTCCCACTTCATAATGAGTCCTCTTTCGTTCTAATTGTTGTTCTCGCTGCTTTTGTTTTAGGCTTATTTGGATCACTACTCTTTTTTGGGGCTGTGATTACTTATTTTCAATGAAAACATTAAAAAAAAAAAAAAACACAACAGAATAACAATGAAATACCAAAAAGATTAATGGAGCTTGTACGAATGATGCTTTGTTTTCGCTGGCCTTTGTCCAGATGGACCGTTTTATTTAAGTTGAATATCAGAGCAATGACCAAATACTGAGTCAAATTCTTGAAAAAGTTAGGTGAATATCAAGTTGAATGAATATTGGGGCGCACGAATATTGAGGTTCCACTGTATAACAAAAATTTTTTTATGATAGGCTAATTTTGGTTTTAATGACACACTTTTTCCTCTGTTTTTTTGTGGCCACAGACATCAGAGGTGAACAGTGCACCTATAGCACTCATTACAACAGGGTTAAATCAAAGAATAAATATTTGCAAAGTGAAAATTGTAAAGAGTGCCTCCTACAACCATGCAGTTTAACCCTTTGACTGTTTTCGACGTATAAATACGTCTTACGAGCCAATGTTTTTGACGTATATATACTCAATAATTCTAGCGGCTTCAAATCAAGCGGGAGAAAGCTGGTAGGCCCACATGTGAGAGAATGGGTCTGTGTGGTCAGTGTGCACCACATAAAAAAAATCCTGCAGCACACATTGGGTAATGAGAAAAAAAAAACTCTGATCGTTTTTTTGGAATAAAACGCCGACTTTGAGGTGTATTTTCGTATAGTATTTATCGTTGTATTCGCGTTTTCATGGTCTTAGGTGATAAAATGGAAAACATATTACAGAAATAGAGATGATTTTCATTACTTTTACGATGAAAACGACCTTGAAACTAAGCTCAAAGTAGCAGAAATGTTCGATTTTTACCAATGTTCAAGAGTAAATAAATCACACCACACGTCCAATACACGTCAACTGGGGAGTCTAATATTCTTTCACTAGTGCACTGATATTATTTATACCATTTTTACAATAATGCAGTCGTCTGCATAACAGTAAATTTTGTATTTTTTTGTATGAATAAAAAATCAAAATAGAAAGCAATAATAATATAAGAGGGGCCTAGAGATGTGACTAATGAACAGAGCATATGTTATTTTAGTGCCACGAATGTCTATCTTGTTTATTCTGGACCCTATTTTGAAATTTGCATCTTTTTTAGTTTTCATGAAATTGGCCAAATTGCCAATTTCTGACCACCATATTGGGTAGTCCAAATTAGTAAATGGGAGGTTTCTTGTACTCAGCTGATAGATAAAATGGAGTTCTAAAGAAATAGCTATGAGTTTGGTCAACTGGAACAATGGAATTGGCTGAAAATAGGGCTCAAAGTCGGCGAAATCGCCGATACGCATATGTCGCAGAAACCGCTAACTTCGCGGGAGCATAATTCCACGAGTTTTCGACCAAATTTCGAACTTTTGGTGTCATTACCATCGGGAAAAGATTCTCTATCATTTCATAAGAAAAAATAATTTTTTTTTTTTTTCAAAAATTGAGCGACATATAATGACAGTTTCAGAAAGGGGCCTGAAACAGTCAAAGGGTTAAAAAACAAACAATAATACAGTGGAACCTCAAAAATCGAACTGCTCCCAACTCAACCAATTATGTAAGTGTATTTTTGTAAGTGCTTTTATAAGTGTATTTTTGAGGGTCTGAAATGGACTAATCTAATTTACATTATTCCTGATGAGAATAAATTCGTTTGGTACAGCCTTCTGGACCGAAGAAAGTTCGATATTTGAGGTTCCACTGTAAATATGGGCTCGCTGAGCGCTCTCGTACAGCATCGTTTATTGTCTAGCAGTTGTATTCACTGTATTCATTAAGTTTTTTTCATCATTAAAACAAAATGATGCTATTCGATGACTTGCTGTACAAGCTCATATACTGTACCTGAGAGCCTGCTACAATGACTGTAATACAAGGTTCATAATACTGTACCTGCAGTCCAGCTAAAATATCACCATTCCACAAGAGAAGGTTACCACGGTGATCCAGCAGTGGTTGTGTGGTGGGCTGGTCACCCTGCAACCACAACAAACAACCCTCAAACAACCCAACCACCTGCAAACACACAATGTGTTACTTAACCTGTTTGAACAATAACAGTCAATTATTATAGTAAATTATCACAGTCAATTATTATGGTCAATTATTAGTCAATTATCACAATTATCAGTAAATTATTACAGTTAATTAATACAGTAAATTGTTAATAAATTATCACAGTTATTACAGACAATTATTACAGTCAAATATTATGGTCAATTATTAGTGAATTATCACAATTAATTTTTTTTTTCAACAAGTCGGCCATCTCCCACCGAGGCAGGGTGACCCAAAAAGACAGAAAAATCCCCAAAAAGAAAATACTTTCATCATCATTCAACACTTTCACCTCACTCATACATAATCACTGTTTTTGCAGAGGTCCCCAGAATAAAACAGTTTTGAAGCATATATGCATAAAGATATATAACATATCCCCCTAAACTGCCAATATCCCAAACCCCTCCTTTAACCCTTAAACGGTCCAAACAGATCGACTTTCAAATTCATAGTGCTACAAAAGTAGATCTACTTTTTTTTTACATATTTTCAAATATAACAAAAAAAAATGTAGATAAAAGTTTTTTTTTACGTTTTCAAATGTAAAACAAAAAAGAAGATCTACATTTTTTTACATACTTTTCAGATGTTGGACCGTTTAAGGGTTAAAGTGCAGGCATTGTACTTCCCATTTCCAGTACTCGAAGTCTGGCTATATAAAAATAACCAGTTTCCCTGAATCCCTTCACTAAATATTACCCTGCTCACACTCCAACAGCTCATCAGGTCCCAAATACCATTCGTCTCCATTCACTCCTATCTAACACGCTCACACACGCTTGCTGGAAGTCCAAGCCCCTCGCCTACAAAACCTACTTTACCCCCTTCCTCCAATCTTTTTGAGGACTACCCCTACCCCGCCTTCCTTCCCCTACAGATTTATACACTCTCCAAGTCATTCTACTTTGATCCATTCTCTCTAAATGACCAAACCACCTCAAAAACCCCTCTTCAGCCCTCCGACTAATACTTTTATTAACTCCACACCTCCTAATTTCCACTCTCTGAATTCTCTGCATAATATTTACACCACACATTGCCCTTAGACAGGACATCACCACTGCCTCCAACCGCCTCCTCGCTGCAGCATTTACAACCCAAGCTTCACACCCATATAAGAGTGTTGGTGTCACTATACTTTCATACATTCCCTTCTTTGTCTCCATAGATAATGTTGTTAATTATCAGTCAATTACAGTCAATTGTTAGTTAATTATTACAGTCTATTACAGTCAGTTATTACAGTCAATTATCACAATCAATTATCAGTCAGTTATTACAATTATCACAGTCAATTATTACAATCAATTTTTTTTATTTTTTTCAACAATGCGGCCATCTCCCACCAAGGCAGGGTGACCCAAAAAGAAAGAAAATCCCCAAAAAGAAAATACTTTCATCATCATTCAACACTTTCACCTCACTCACACATAATCACTGTTTTTGCAGAGGTGCTCAGAACACAACAGTTTAGAAGCATATACGTATAGAGATACACAACATATCCCTCCAAACTGCTAATATCCCGAAACCCCTCCTTTAGAGTGCAGGCATTGTACTTCCCATTTCCGGGACTCAAGTCCGGCTATACAAAAATAACCGGTTTCCCTGAATCCCTTCACTAAATATTACCCTGCTCACACTCCAACAGCTCATCAGGTCCCAAATACCATTCGTCTCCATTCACTCCCATCGAACACGCTCATGCACGCCTGCTGGAAGTCCAAGCCCCTCGCCCATAAAACCTCCCTTACCCCTTCCTTCCAACCTTTTCGAGGACGACCCCTACTCCGTCTTCCTTCTCCTACAGATTTAAATGCTCTCCATGTCATTCTACTTTGATCCATTCTCTCTAAATGACCAAACCACCTCAACAACCCCTCTTCAGCCTCTGACTAATAATTTTATTAACTCCACACCTTCTCCTAATTTCCACACTCCGAATTTTCTGCATAATATTTACACCACACATTGCCCTTAGACAGGACATCTCCACTGCCTCCAACCGTCTCCTTGCTGCTGCTTTCACAACCCAAGCTTCACATCCATATATGAGTATTGGTACTACTATACTTTCATACATTCCCTTCTTTGCCTCCATAGATAACGTTTTTTGACTCCACATATACCTCAACGCACCACTCACCTTTTTTTCCCTCGTCAATTCTATGATTAACCTCATCCTTCATAAATCCATCCGCCGACACGTCAACTCCCAAGTATCTGAAAACATTCACTTCTTGCATACTCCTCCTCCCCAATTTGATATCCAATTTTTCTTTATCTAAATCATTTGATACCCTCATCACCTTACTCTTTTCTATGTTCACTTTCAACTTTCTACCTTTACACAGACTCCCAAACTCATCCACTAACCTTTGTAACTTTTCTTTAGAATCTCCCATAAGCACAGTATCATCAGCAAAAAGTAACTGTGTCAATTCCCATTTTGTATTTGATTCCCCATAATTTAATCCCACCCCTCTCCCGAACACCCTAGCATTTACTTCTTTTACAACCCCATCTATAAATATATTAAACAACCATGGTGACGTTACACATCCCTGTCTAAGACCTACTTTTACCGGGAAGTATTCTCCCTCCCTTCTACACACCCTAACCTGAGCCTCACTATCCTCATAAAAACTCTTTACAGCAATTAATACCTTACCACCTATTCCATATACTTGCAACATCTGCCACATTGCTCCCCTATCTACTCTATCATATGCCTTTTCTAAATCCATAAATGCAATAAAAACTTCCCTACCTTTATCTAAATACTGTTCACATATATGTTTCAATGTAAACACTTGATCTACACATCCCCTACCCACTCTGAAACCTCCTTGCTCATCTGAAATCCTGCATTCTGTCTTATCTCTAATTCTTTCAATTATAACCCTACCATACACTTTTCCTGGTATACTCGGTAAACTTATTCCTCTATAATTTTTACAATCTCTTTTGTCCCCTTTCCCTTTATATAAAGGGACTATACATGCTCTCTGCCAATCCCTAGGTACCTTCCCCTCTTTCATACATTTATTAAACAAAAGTACCAACCACTCCAACACTATATCCCCCCCTGCTTTTAACATTTCTGTCATGATCCCATCAGTTCCAGCTGCTTTACCTCCTTTCATTCTACGTAATGCCTCACATACCTCCCCCACACTTACATTCTGCTCTTCTTCACTCCTAAAAGATGGTATACCTCCCTGGCCAGTGCATGAAATTACCGCCTCCTTTCCTCAACATTTAAAAGTTCCTCAAAATATTCTCGCCATCTACCTAATACCTCCATCTCCCCATCTACTAACTCCCCTACTCTGTTTTTAACTGACAAATCCATACGTTCCCTAGGCTTTCTTAACTTGTTTAACTCACTCCAAAATCTTTTCTTATTTTTATTAAAATTTCTTGACAGTGCCTCTCCCACTCTATCATCTGCTCTCCTTTTGCACTCTCTCACCACTCTCTTCACCTTTCTTTTACTCTCCATATACTCTGCTCTTATAACACTTCTGCTTTGTAAAAACCTCTCATAAGCTAACTTTTTCTCTTTTATCACACTCTTTACTTCATCATTCCACTAATCAATCCTCTTTCCTCCTGCCCTCACCCTCCTATAACCACAAACTTCTGCCCCACATTCTAATACTGCATTTTTAAAACTACTCCAACCCTCTTCAACCCCCCCCCCACTACTCATCTTTGCACTAGCCCACCTTTCTGCCAATAGTCGCTTATATCTCCCCCGAACTTCCTCCTCCCTTAGTTTATACACTTTCACCTCCCTCTTACATGTTGTTGCCACCTTCCACTTGTCCCATCTACCTCTTACTCTAACTGTAGCTACAACTAAATAATGATCCGATATATCAGTAATCCTCTATAAACATGTACATCCTGGAGCCTACCCATCAACCTTTTATCCACCAATATATAATCTAACAAGCTACTTTCATTACGTGCTACATCATACCTTGTATATTTATTTATCCTCTTCTTCATAAAATATGTATTACTTATTACCAAATCTCTTTCTACACATAGCTCAATTAATTAAAGACTCCCCATTTACATTTACCACTGGCACCCCAAATTTACCTACTACTCCCTCCACAACATTTTTACCCACTTTTGCATTGAAATCCCCAACCACAAGTACTCTCACACTTGGTTCAAAACTCCCCATGCATTCACTCAACATTTCCCAAAATCTCTCTCTCTCTCGTCAACACTTCTCTCTTCTCCAGGTGCATATATGCTTACTATAACCCACTTTTCACATCCAACCTTTATTTTACTCCACATAATCCTTGAATTAATACATTTATAGTCCCTCTTTTCCTGCCATAGCTTATCCTTCAACATTATTGCTACTCCTTCTTTAGCTCTAACTCTATTTGAAACCCCTGACCTAATCCCATTTATTCCTCTCCACTGAAACTCTCCCACCCCCTTCAGCTTTGTTTAACTTAAAGCCAGGACATCCAGCTTCTTCTCATTCATAACATCCACAATCATCTCTTTCTTATCATTTGCACAACATCCACACACATTCAGACTTCCCACTTTGACAATTTTCTTCTTATTCTTTTTAGTAATCTTTACAGGAAAAGGGGTTACTAGCCCATTGTTCCCAGCATTTTAGTTGACTTTTACAACACGCATGGCTTACGGAGGAAAGATTCTTATTCCACTTCCCCATGGATATAAAAGGAAAAGTAATAAGACCAAGAGCTATTACGATAAAATCAAAGAAAACTCAGATGAGTGTGTATAAATAAACGTGTACATGTATGTGTAGTGTGACATAAGTGTAAGTAGAAGTAGCAAGACATACCTGTAATCTTGCATATTTATGAGACAGACAAAAGACACCAGTAATCCTACCATCATGTAAAACAATTACAGGCTTTCGTTTTACACTCACTTGGCAGGACGGT